GAGTGCAGATTCATCAGCATTGATAGTCAAGACATTCAAAGTCTGACCCAACAACTACGCCTGCGTCACTTGCACTGCACCCACGCGCTTGAGCCACGCCATAGGCAGATGACACCACATACAATGATTGGATGGTGAGGCCATATGAAGGAGGATGGTCGGCAGGAGAAAGAGTTATGGGGCTATCCGACCTTGCTGACCATGAGTCGATTTTAGCGCGCCCTGCACTGCGAAGTAAGCCGCTCAGTGCCTGTTCAGTGATCCGATATACTTTCCTACTGAACGTGTTTCTTACTTATTATTATTTATTGTTAACTAGACGATAGGAACTAGACGTGTTTTACCTAGTTCGCATCGTGTCCGCTGTCTTGATAAGCATTACAAGTGTTCGCAGAAAGAGCGCATTTAAGGTGTGGAGACCAACTTTAGAAGAGAAGGTCATTGGTATACATGAAGAACTGAAGAATAAAATCAAGGAAAATAAATGGATGGAATCTGAGTTCAAAGAAGTGAAGTTTTAAGCCAACTTGTTTGAAACGCTTACACAACATTGTACTCCTTAGTTATATCGCTGAAGTGTTCGGATTCCTCCCCAGAATCTGGAAATAAGAGTAATTGCTCCACATGTGGCAGCCCGGGAAGGGCAATGCCTTGCGAGCACTGTCCCCGATCCGGTGCGTATAATCTGCAGATTGGAGACACCACATGGTCAGGCCGGCTCATACGATCAAGTTGTCAGAAATGGGGATTCAGTAGGGTAAGAAGAATTTCGAGTGAATATAATCATTTGTAGGAAGAAAACAAAGGAGTTCAGCAGTCATGAACTATGATATTTACGTACATGGTATTCATTGGTCCTAGATTCACTTCTCGAAAAACGTTTACGGCATAAAAAGGCCGAAACGCGATCGAAATCCTAAAATGTCGTCGAAAAGTCGCAAACGGTTTCTAGGCGTTCATGGCGTATAGACTGATGAGCAATGAAAGGTTTCGAGTTACTTACCTCAAAAAGCGGCCAATAGGTGAAACTAGCAAAGTTGTTGGGGGTAGGTAAGGTTTATTGTCAGTCGAGTATTAGGCGGCCTAATTCCAAGCATTTGATGAGATAGTGATCGCATATAATGGTCATCATATTGTTACACATACATTGCTGAACGAGTAATATGCACATGGATTGGCGTATAATATGAGATAATATGTGATTATACTGCCGGTTATGATTGCGACCTGTTACATTTGGTGATTAATGATGGGACATGACTTAAGGACAGTTATAGGTAGGAAACATGTTGCATAAGGTGCTCAAGATAGATACACATCGATTATGGCAGGACGAACGTAGGCCTGAAAAGCTTTATTGGACTTCCATCTTCCCATCTGCATAACCTGAGAACTATCAAATCCCTGCTCTAAGGCCGTAGATGCTGCACCCCCTCTAAAACTATGCGTGGTATAGTTTTTATGACTAATGCCTGCAATCAAGAATAACTGCTGTAACCTTTTTGAGATAGTGGAAGCGCTCAAAGGTAATTTAGTGGACTGAGAAGCGAACAAGTAGTTACTCTTGATTCCCTCTGCGTATCTAATATGCTTATCTAAAACAGCGTGCTCTTCCGAGTCGCGCACCATCTTGAAAGACACCGTAGCTCCTCGTCGGGTTTGATCCGTTTTGAACTTTTCTATGAATATAGAGTACACAATACATGTCGGTACGTGTGAGTTCGTCTTTCTTCAAGTTCCGAGCTTCACTGAATCTCAAAGACCTCTAAAGAGAAGTATGGCTAGCGCCGCTGTCGAAAACGCTTTGGGATCTTTGGATATCGCCCCTAGGTGAATAATCGTACCGGCATTCTACTTCTCGCCGAGCTTTCTGAATAGCGTCTTCTCCTTTTCTTTACCTTATTTTTTTGTTTACGTGAAGGTGGCATTCGCATTCGATCAGTGACTATAATACAGACTCTGATTGCTTCTCCAATATCTGGTAGGTTGCATTCTATCGCTGTTTGATATAGGTCGCCTGCTTCTTTCCATAGTGGTCCTGAAATAACTACGGGTAGGGTGGGTGGGAGTCAACTCGTTGACGCAGTAAAACCTGGACTGGAGATCCATGCGAGGACATCGTAAACATCGATGTCCTCTAGCGACCCCGTGATAGTGATCCGATCATTCATTCATGTGAGAACCTTACGAAATCTAGACGTCCTCACTAGATGTTGTATGGAAATTGATGCCAAGATCTCTTCTTCTTTACTGCCGAAAAGCCACACTTTTGCCGTAACAGTGACGCGAACCTTGTGAACGAGACCCAGGTGGACCCCAGAATGATTGACATCTGTTCTCACATGCAGAACTCCTGGTAGATCTCGTCTTTGGAGTAGGTGAGGAAACTAAGGCATGTGGTTACCTTGATTTAAAGACCTTGGCGCCCCCGCCGCATATTGTGGATTTGCGAATTATCGGAATTGTGAATGATGGGTGATTTCTGAAACTGCGCAATGGACCCTTTTTGAAGAGAGAGGAATCCTACGAGTTGGCGCCAAGCTAAGCGTACGTCGCAGAATCCGCGAGGAGGAAGGGCGCAACTGTCTCCTCTTTGAAGGGGAGGTCGTATCTGTAGAGGTTCAGTACTGTGAAAATGCGAGCTAAAACGTGAGATGATACGCTAAGAAAATGAGTCGATGCTGGCGCAATTTCATGAAGGCGTTGCATCAGCCCCTTCTGCGCTCTGCATTTTCTCCTCATTCACGATGAGAAGGAGGGTGTACGGAATGTACGAATTTTCTAGATGGAAATGTGGGTTTTGCAGAGGGCGAGGTCCTCATATTGCATCTTGAGCTGTCTTTCAAAGAGAACTTCCGCGACGGGCGAATTCACGCTGCATTTTAGCCATGGCGAAGTGGGCGTATCAGATAGAGAAAACAATCTAGATTCCAACGTAGTACTCCATTCTGCGCTGTGCCTAAACGAACTTATGGCGATTGAACATAAAAAACTCGCGTAGCCGAAAATTTCCCGCGCTATTCTTGTGATTTTCCGCGACGAGCGAATTTCGGCTATAATCCTACTTTATATAATCCGCTATGTCCGCGGTGTGTTGCAGCTTGCGTCTGTCTGTTTGTCACGAAATTCATAGCGCCGGGCTCAGTAGCAGTGAGACATTGGTTCCAAGGAGTGATGTAGGGGGTGTGACGGGAACACTATTGGTGGGTGACAGGACGTGATGTCAGTTGATAAGATCCGATAAGAGGCGTTAGAAGACGGAGGTCACCATATTCATAACGCGGGTGACAGCATCAGCTAGCTCTTGATTCGCTTACTGCGTAAGGGTATGGGCCAAGAACATTATTGGTGGGTGACAAGAACTGTAAGCCGCTGATAAGATTCGATAAGGAGCGTTAGAATGGTGAGGTCATCGTATTCACAGCACAGGTCACAGCATCAGCGAGGCGTACGTCTCTGCAAGTGATATAGAGGGTGACATCCAGGACATGAATCTGGGTGACTGAAAGCGATAACTACTAATAGAGACTGATAAGTGAAGTTGCAATCGTCGTCGCTGCTCAAGGTGGTTCACGCTGGAAAATCATAGAGATTTGGTGATGAGGACATTGATGACGGGTGACAGGTAATCTTATCAATCGATAAAAACGGATAAGATACCATCTGCGCTACATTTTTACCAATTCTTACCGCTTTAATGCCGAGTATTAGGGGCTCAGTGGGTGAACCCTTTCCTTTGATGGCAACAGGATCAGGGTGTCCAATGAAGTGTTTGCTTTTAGATGGATCGCAATGCGGTGTCGGCGGTGGTGGGGGCAGTATATTAGTGCGGCTGAAACTGGAAAAATTGAGAAATTTCACCAATTCAAAAATTTTTTTGCAAAGTTGCCTTGATATGGGTCGTGTGTGATATGTGTGTGTTAGAAGTGTGGGCAGGTCGTTAATTGAAACCAAATAAGGAGGGACCCAACAATTGGGAGTGGGCAACGTTCCCATGGGTTGGTCATTCGAGAGCTCTCCGGTCCGTGCGACACCAAAGTTTTCATATGCTACAAACAATAATGGAGTTCTTCTTTTCAGTGCCACCCATTACTCTGCTGCAGTTATGCCTCTTCCGGTTATTAACAGCTCATCCAGGCTAATTCACCTTTACCCATTCTCAACTGCGGTCCTTAATGATATGGTGCAGCCTTCTCACCGTTGAAAGTCTGTAGTAAGCAAGGGAGACCAGTTGTTGGTAGATAATGACTGATGTTGAGCTATTTTCAGCTCATTTTCCTGCATTTCATTGCTGTCATCAATTCTTGCAACATTTAGCACATCTATCCGCCGACAGGGGAGTCGCAGCAGTCGGCGGGGAAAGTGCCTGCTGGCCAGGCCCCGGAGAGCCGACTTGGTTAGGCCTAATAACGAAGCTGTTATGAGCCCAGAGCCTGGCCTACAATTTAATCTTTCTTACCGCTCTGCGAAAGATGGTTCATGAGTAAGGTTATACCCTTAAAAAACAATATGTTAATGCAGTGGACCGATAGCGCTCTGTTCTAAATGAACGACGCTGCCGCAGTGCGCTCATCCTCGACTTCGCGTCATTCGTTTGGGCCGCATCCTATGACGGTTTCCAGAAGTTTCTGTGCTCTTCAATTTCTAGTGCTATCGTTGGTTCATCGGTTCGGTAAATGCTTTCGTTGGTTCATTGGTTCGGTAAATGCTCCTAGATGCTCAGAACTTAGTGAATTCACGTAACACGCAAATATATGCAGCTACATCCTGATAAGCAGAGCAGGATGCAGCTGAATATGTTGATGCCTCCAGAGTCGGTAAGAGGGCGGTGTCGTGTGAACAGCCCCTTTTAGGGGTCGTATCAACCTCCCCCCCCCATTCCGCGACGTGATGCTTGACCCTGGTTGGCGCTAAATTGGGTCCTTATACGCCAGTTCGCGAAAAGGACACAGATAGCGGATGTGGTACTTTGATACAGCTTAACGTATATTCAACTGGAAATGAAACTGAAACTGGTTTCCCGGAGCGGTGCTCAACGCATCCACGTCAGACAAGTAAGGAACGAAGCCATTTCCTAAATTCAGATGATATTGGCGACGTTGCATGCAGTGCAGTTCTTGGCACAACTCTAAACAAAACTAGCTGTTCACTGACTGCAGAAATTAGATTAAAGGCACAGCGACCGCAAATTGCGGGAAACGGAACTCAAATAGGCACAAAAAAGTGCTAAGTATCTGATTAGCGGAGAAAAGCAGCAGAAAAAGCAGTCCGAAATGTTATAGAGAAGATAACATAGTGGCTACTAGCTAGTAGCTAGCAGCCGGTGAGGGTCGGCATGGGCCTAAGGGGTGTCCATGGGCCTAATTAGTCAGCTTCTAGCGGAGTTCTTGCCGTTTTTCACATTTTGAAAGTAGCGCAGCCTCAAAAATCGCCTTCCGGATCGTCCGACACATTTGAGAGGTCATAGCCTTATTTTATCGCGGAATGTGCCTTTAAAAACGCATGAAAGTTCCCAACAGGAAGTTCACAAGAATCCCCGCCAAGAAAAAAAGGAGAGGAGTAGAAAAGAACTGGAAAATGGAAGTGACTGGAAAGTAGTCTAGGAAATGACGCTCCGTGGTTCACTGTCACCAAAATGAGAAGGTTTCTTGGTCTTACCAAACTTTTTCGCAGTGGAAGCTTTTTTCCAGGTCGTCTTGAAGAAACTCAATAAAATGAAATGGATTCTCATTGACGATGACATGTTCTACAATGACACTGCTGTAGATGCGAAATACCCTGAAGTAAGCAACATTTCCAATCAGCGGAACAAATTTTTCTTAAAAAACTTGATGAAAAAATTGTTTCAGTACCTTGAGCATGTTCCATTAACTGATCTACCTTTTCTTCACCATGATGGAAATGAAAAAAATTGCTTTTTGTCCCGAAAAAACGGAAAAATTCACGAGACTGGTGGAACCTGTTGCTGAAGAAGAACTAGGAGAGTTTGGTTTTAGGGGTTACCAGGTCAACGCCTACTACGTGTTACAATTGAACAAAATAAGTAAGTTTTGGGACTACAAAAGTTCTAGTTCACAGAAGGCAAAGTGTTTTGATACTCGCCGATACCGTTTTTATCGTTACACAGGACGAAAATAACTAGCAATTGCGCACTGTGCAAAATGTAAGGAAAAATCCCTTACGTGAAAAGGATGTTATGGAGATGATTCGCAAATACATTCTAAATTGATCAAATATGGAGACACTTGGCAAAGAGGGTGCTCACCAGGGTCAAGCATCACGTAGCAACAAATTAGTGTTTCGTACGACCCCCGCCCTCTCCCCACTAGAAGGGTGACCGTGCGACTTCCCCCCCCCCCATTTATTAGGTTGTTCGAAAAGTCCTGCGACACTTTGATTGAATTGTTCTAGAAAAAGACCAAAAATCATTTTGGATGTTTTTATCCCTGATTAGTGGAGACTGTCCTCTGGGGTTTCTGCACATGGGTATATCATGACTTTGAGGAAGTTTTCAAAGCTTAAAAGTCCCCCAGAGATCGAGGTACTTTTCGACCTATCCCATATTATGAGTTCCTGTAGGGCCACTTCGCCGTAGTCAAGGAAGCTGACACTTACGTTGTCTTGAGGAAGGATATCGCTTGCCATGGCAGAGGGTAGCTTTTGCATCAGCGCTTTTAAGCTGACTTATGTTAACTCGTTGGCATGTAGTAGGTCCCCATCAGCAGAATGACAGCCCTTTACTCGAACTTCTTGAGGCGCAGCCGAACGTAACCACCAGTAAGTTGGCAACCTCTCTACCTAACTGACAACTGCCGTGCTTCTCCGCAGTCTCGGTTATCGGAAAAATTTTTTATGAAGGATGCCTCATGAGTTGGACCCGTCTGACAAGTCATACCGAATGACCGTGACTGAGTTTTCTTTTCCTTGTACACAGCGTAGGAACTTTTGTGAGATCTTGTGGTTGGTAGCGAGTGGTGGAGTCCTTGCGTACATCATGCACATGTCCCTCGCAGGATCTCTCAAACAGAAAAGTAGATTGCTTAGCCAAAATCAGATGTGCATGGGATAAAGATTTCAGTGTGTTATTGGTGGGATTCAAAGCGGTATCACTGGATACTAGCACCGCTGTAAGGACCACAGTCCACCTTAATCGACTTCAAAATATGGATGACGTCACGCTTGAATTCATTCAGAAATACTCAATTTTTCTCTACTACTCGGTAATGCGAGGACCGCTGTGGGAATCAAGGCTACGCCAAAAGATCATGCATTTCGATCAGAGAATGCGACCGTACTCAGGTTATTTAACAAAGTTAGCAGCCTCTAATTACCACCTCCTTTGGTCACTATCGCATCCTTCACTAGCAAAAGTTCGGAAAATTTCAACCCTCACACTCGAGAATCAGGCCCGCCGTCTATCTTATTTACCAGATTGCTCGGTCCTCCTGTCGCCCGACGGTGGTTTGAAGGCTAGGCAGGCCGATACTCTTCATTGTGAGGCGCATCGCAAAGATATGTGGAGAAGTAGTAAGAGGACACGTGCGAGATATGTGGTGCCGGCAGGGGGGGGTGGAGGAGTCCGGGCGGGTTGTGTTGAGCGATTGGCGGAGTGGGAGCGCTGGGGCAAGATAGGGGTTCGGTTGGAGGAAAGTATGGATAAGGTGTAAGGGGTAGAGAGTGTGACGAGGCAGGGATAGGAGGATGGTTGGGGGGGCGGGCGGAGGGAGTGTATGCCCGGGAATGGGAGCGAGCTGAACGCGCAGGTTTTGAGTGGGCGGGGTAGGGAGAGGGTGGGGGAAAGGTGAATGGAAAGGAGGGCGGAGGTCGGTGCGGAGGGGTTGAAATGGGGTAGGACTGGAGCGGGGAGAAGCGCTGGGCGTAGGTAGCGCGCGCGGAAGGAGGAGCCGCGGGGCGGGGGGGGGGGCCTAGGCGGTCTGGAAAGGCGGGCGTATGATGGGGGGAGGCGAGGCCTTGAGTGATTACGGAGGAGGGGGGGGAAGGGGGCGAGTGGAGAAGGAAGCCTGATTGACGTAGGGGAGGGCCCCCGGGCGAGGGGGGGGGAGGGCGGAGAATAAACAATGGGAAGCGAGATGAGGGTGAAGGAAAGAAGCAGAGAAGGGAGGGAAAAGAGAACAGCGCATAGAAAGAGAGAAAGGGAAGGCGTCGTGGTTTGGCCGAAGACGGGATGGATGGGGATATGGGGAGGTGGGGAGGCGAAGGTGGGGCGAGGAGGAGATGAAGCGGTGAGATTTGAGGCAAAACTGGTACGTACTGGGATATCGGGAGAAGGGACAGTGGGTTGGTGGGAGGGTAGTGCGGAGAAGGAGAGTCAGAGAGAGCTGTAAGAGATAAGAGAAGAGGAGAGAGAAAAAGGGGGGGGGTGGGTGGGAGATCGGAGGGAATACTTCAGGTTGTAGAGGAAGCGGACAGAGTTGAGGGAGTGTTGCGGGCAAATCGTGGGCATAGGTGGAATGGATCCTGGGAGCGTGTGTGCGAGTGGCGGCGAGTGGGTATCCGGGGCGGAGGACGGGGGGCGGGCGCAGTGGGGCCTTGTCAGGGGCTCTGGTGCGGCCATCAGGTGTGAACGGGAGGGGGCGAGAAGGTACCCCGGGGGGTGGGCGATGCGTCGTAGTGGGCGGATGCGAGTGGCGTCGGCGCCATGCGGGAGAGGTTGACATGCCGCGCTGTTAGGGGGTAGAGGGGGGAAGGTGCGTATGCCCGAGGGAGCATGAGAAAAGAGGCGGGGCCTCAGGTGAAATGCGAATGGGTGGGGCTGGATACGTATGTCCTCGAATGTGCCTCCCATTTTTTCTGCGAAATAAAAAGATAATCCGTCTCGTTAAGACAATTTATTCCTTACGATCTAACATCATAATATCGTTTTTCTCCTTATTGTTGGCTTCCTTCAATCCTGAGCTTTGCTAAGAGGGTTGGTCATTATACCACCCCTTTTTTTCAGCTAGGTGTTCCCTGATGCGAGTAGCTAAGTCCCTTTCTGCTCCCTCGATGTACGTGCTGTCACAAGCCGTGCATTCAAGTTGATAAACTACTCCAACTTTTTCACAATCTCCTGACCTTCCATATGGGCAAATAACGCAGTCCGGTGTGATGCACTGCCTGTCGTACAGTCTATTGCGGACAAGTTGCCGTTTGATGCTGCCATTGGGAATATTCACCAAGGCAACCGTACTTCCTGATCTTGTGCTCGCACAATACTGCGGTGTATTTCAGTGCTCACTTCATCGGAAATGAAAGGAAGGCATAAGGGTAATTTCCCCTGGCGTGGTCTGTGTCTCAGGCTAGCATTTGGTGTTCTGCGTTGTGATCGTACCGCATAGCCATTTTCTCTAGCAATTTTTGAAGCTAGAGATCTTGATTCTAGACGTTCTTCATCGCCAGTGCACATCTTCGTTGCTGTAGTGACCATGTTCCGAATGACTGCACGTTTCACAGCAGCAGGATGTGACATGAATCAGGATATTTTTACAGCTAGGCTTGCGGTACCACTTCACGTTAGCAACGCCATTGGACAACTTCACCTGCGTGTTTAGATATGGTAGCCAACCTTGCTTAGGTACTTCTCGTGTGAGCCTTATGTACTGCGACTGCTCATTCAATAATCGGAAACACTCATCCATTTCGGATTGTGTTGATGTTATAATGAAGCAGTCGTCGATATATCTGCAGTACATCAAAGGAGAGCGACCCAGTACTGGTTCTTCAATTCTGCTCATAAAGCAGACCGCAAGTACTGGTGCTAGTCGCTGACCCATTGCCAAACCCCTGACTTGAGAATAATACCGTCCTGACCATTTGAAGATATTACAACGCAAGCATTCCTCAACCAGAGTCATGATGTGTGCTTTATTTAGTCCAAAGGTGTCAATGGCGGTCACATGCTCATCCAACATTTCAGATAAAGCCTGTAACGCTTGTTCGTTTTGGACGTTCGTATAAAGCGAAGTGACATCAAATGACTCCACTACACAACTTGATCCGAAGCTTTTTTAGGCAACGCTCAGCTTTCCGCTAATGCCTTGAGTTTCCTCAGTCTCGGACCGTCATTCGTACCTGCTCAGAACATCAATGCAGTCATATTCCGTAAAGTTAAATGCTAGCCTGAGACACAGAATACGCCAGGGGAAATTACCCTTATGCCTTCCTTTCATTTCCGATGAAGTGAGCACTGAAATACACCGCAGTATTGTGGCCTTGGTGAAATTCCCAATGGCAGCATCAAACGGCAACTTGTCCGCAATAGACTGTACGACAGGCAGTGCGTCACACCGGACTGCGTTATTTGCCCATATGGAAGGTCAGGAGATTGTGAAAAAGTTGGAGTAGTTTATCAACTTGAATGCAGGGCTTGTAACAGCACGTACATCGGGGAAACAGGAAGGGACTTAGCTACTCGCGTCAAGGAACACCTAGCTGGAAAAAGGCGTGGTATAATGACCACTCCTCTTGGCAAGCATAAGGTTGAAGAGCACAACGGGAATGATTTTGATGTTAAGTGTAGTATATTGGCTTACGAGACGGATATCTCGTCCAGGAAAGTTTTGGAATCGTTCTGGATTTTCGCGAGGAAACCGAGGATGAACGGCCGAAACGAGTGCTTGTCTATTACAAATGAATTCCTGCCGTTTGTATCAGAATGCGAGCTACAATAAGGACGACGTGCGTTATCACAATTTTGACTTATGCGACACGATGGGACTCGAGTGAGTCTCATTCGTCCTTACTAATCCAACTAACAGACAGCGAGAGCTGGGCTCCGCACGGTGGTACCTTCGGTGAGTTGCTCGCAGTTATACCGGGTTGTTCGGGAGCGTTCGCGACATGACGTCGGAAACGCTAGAGTGGGGAAGGCGTTTGGTCGGGTAAGTAACAAAATCAAAAGCTTCGAGCCATTTTCAGGCCTCTGAAGAAGACGAGAAGGTCGAAACGTTAGGCCAATAAAAGGTTCACCTAACAACCTCGTTTGGCAGAAGCAACTTAATAGTCGCTTTTCTGTGTTTACGGAAGGAACAACTTGCCTCATCTGTAA